AGGAGGGCTGAACTCAGTTCTTCCTGTTCCAAGTGGGTATCACTCAGATTGGACCATTACAAGGGCCAGGCCTGTCCCTGAGGAAGAATCACTCTTACACTCGCTCCCCTTTATAAAGAAACTGTGACTCAAAGCAGAGAAGACACTAGCCAAAGCTGTCTAGCTCCTCTGCTCCCCAGGGGCAGGGCAGGACGTCTTCCTGAGGAAGTCAGCAGCTGGAGGGCCAACTAGGGACACTCCTGCTTTCTCTGCTCACTCCCCATTATCCACTCTACAGCTCAGGCAAATGAGAGGCCACCGCCACCTGGTGGCCAGGTGGGGAATCCCGAGGTGCACTCAGGCCACCAGAAGGACAGATGGAGTGTGCCTGGAATCCAGACCCAAACCCTAGCCCTGCCTACATGAGGGCCGTGAGTCACAAGCTAGTCGAGGAGATAGAGGGTTGGAAGCAGTAGCTGCATTTTGTGAAACCAGGACTTCAGTATAGGACAACGGGTTTCTGATCTTCTCACAGTTGACCTTGAGCACAGCATTTCAGTTTTCTGACCCTGGGCTACCCCTGTAAAGCTGAGCAATCATGGGACTGTCCTCCTAAAGGCACAGCGAAGATTACTGCACTCGCAGCCATGGGCGCAGTGCCTGCCCTTGGGGGACGACCAATAAACCGTCCTTTCTGTCCCATCGCCTTCTCGTGACTGTCAGCATTGCTCCTCCCGCCCTACCTGCCCTCCCCGCCCTCCCCCTGAAAGCAGCCCTCACCACCCTGCCCTGCACGGCCCTGGGCCTCACTGACTTTCTTTCTGTTCCCGAGCAGAGCCCGTTTTCCTCAACACTCACCGTTTAGAGTTTGACTTTCTGTCTTCTGCCATCAATGGGGACACCATCCAGGTCCACCTGGGGGTGAGTGTCACAGGACCCTGAGAATACAGTGAGGACATCGCTGCCCTCCTCTGACCAGCTCAGTTTCTTTGTCTTTAAAATGTAAGAAATAATGGGGTCATATCCCACGTGGCCAACTATGTGGTTTGAGTCCTGGCCTCGGCAACTCAAAAAAAATACCAGGCGCATGTGTGTTTGGCCTCGGCAATTCAAAAAAAATACCAGGCGCATGTGTGTTTGGGCCCAAAATCCCAAAAGGAGGGAGAAATGGAAGAGGGATTGCAGCATGCTCAAAGCCCGTTGCAGGGGTTTTCAGGTAAATAATAATGGTCACTGAGGGAGAATGAAATGGACCGCACGAGACCTGGCAGACAGGAAGTGCCGGGTGACTATCATTCCATGTAAGTGTGGAGCTGCATTCATGCTGGGCTGTACTTCCTGAGGGACCAGGCCAACCTGGGTAGCATGGAGCCCAGACCAGTTTTTATGGATTCCTTAGAATATTTTACCATAAAATATTTTTTCCCATTTTGTTGCAATTTTAAGTTACCCCTACACCTAAAATGTTTACAGTATCTTAAAAGTCGAAACATAGCTGAAAAAAAAGATATCAAGATACAAAAAAGTAAAAATCAGAGACGATCTGAAGGGAGCAGGAGTAGATGTTGCCAACCCATTGCCTACAGCAAGGCACTGAATTCCAAGCAAAGCTTCCTGGCAACCAATGCAAAAAGGGAACCCGGCTGAATGGAATCATTTTCTTCTAGGGTGTTGTTGGATAAGCTGTGGAGACTGAATTCTCAGCCCATTCCCTGATCTGTGTCTTCTCAGGCCAAGCTATTGGATGCACAGGGAAACGTGACCAACAGATTCAGTGACTCTGCAGCTTCCCTGACGATGCCCACCCTGGACAGTGCCCCTTTCAGCTTCACCGTGAGGCACGATGTGGTGAACGCTGCAGTTGGTGCCTTGCTCCCTACGGAAGAGCTCATGATCCTGCTGGACTCGGTGGTAAGCCTCAGCATGGACAGAGGGCAGGGATTTCCATCAGGCTCAGTGAGCCCCTCCAGCAATGGATTGTTCCCTGGGCCAATAGACCCTGCCCCGCCCAGAGTTCTAGAACTGAAGACTCCCGGTAGCATGCAGCCGGGCCTAGCTCTGCCCTCTGGGATCTGGTATACCTGTTCCTCTACTGAATGGCAGTGGCAGTCCTGGGAAGCCAAAGGGCATCTGGATAGCATAAGGTCCAGGGAGGTGTCGTACCTCTGCTCGCCACTAGGGGAGCCAAGGCAGACAGCACCAGTCCAGCAGGGCCCTCCCTACTGAGCCTGCTTGCCGGCACAACCTTGGAATCATCCACACAGCAGAGCAGACAGACCCACCAGTCACCTGGAGTGTGCCACCTCCTCTGGGCTGACCCTGATGGGAAAACTGAGGGCCAGAGGGGAGAGGGGCTGGCCCAAAGTTATGGGAGACTGACAGGACTTCAGGTCAGCCGACAGTCACAGTTAACCAAACTCTTGGGGATTAGAACTCAGGGTGAGGGGGTGGGAGTGGGCCCCAGCAATCATGTTCCTGATTGCAGTAAGGACTGGAGTCACTTCTCTCTGTCCTCAGGGAACTGCCCGCGGCCTACAACTACTGCAGTAGAAGTGCAGGCACGTGGGCACGTGGGCCCCACACCCGGTGGCGGCTTACCTGGGGCTGTGTTCTTACCACTGGCCTGCCTAGCTTTCTGGATTCTGGGAACTCTTCATCCTCACAGGGGGTACAGGAAGGGTACTGCCTGGCCTCTCCAGCTAACCTACTCTGGCTCCCTCTTGTCTTCAGCTTCCTGAGCTGGCCCGTCAGCTGAAGTTGGACATCCAGGTGATCAACGAAAAGGTAGGTCCACTCACCACCTGCAGGTGACGTGCGCTCGCTGTGTCTGAACACAGGCCTCCAGGGAAGTGGAGGAGGCCATGTGTGGGGCAGCTTTCTTTCCTGCCTGGGAGGATGGAGGCCAGTTCCTTCTCCTCAAGTATTCTGTCTAGCAGAATACTTTGACCTGTCTTAAATAATTGCACAGATGATAGTACTATTATAAGAACTTTGGTGACAAAGGACAGAGTTATGAGGGCTCACTGAGCATCTGATACAATCCAAGAGATCAGAGGGACTTCCTTTCCAAACAGAAGGAGCGGACAATCATGTCGCCAGGTGGGAGCACAGTGATCCCAGGCTCTGTGAGGACGGTGTGGCAGAACACAGATGGGGAGTGGGTGGGGACAGGAGGTGGGATATGGGCAGGCCCAGGCCACCTGGGACCACAGGGAGCCTGTGGGCCATGGGGAGGCACTCGGGGCCAAATGCATGTCTGATATTCTTCCAGGCTGCAAATCAGCTGAGCCCCACCCAGATCGTGAAGCTACTAACTCTGGAGACCCCCGAATTGCTTCTGAGTCAGAACGGTGCCAAGCTGGCCCAACTGGTTGTGTTTGAAGTGTTCCCCACCAACGAAGCCCGTCGCCCCTTGTTCACCCTGGGCATCGTGAGTTCCGTTGAGTGATATCGGCAGAAGCCTAGGAGACACTCCTGTTCACTGTTTCTGTTCAACAGTCTTGACACCCGGGTGTTGGAGGAGGGGGAAACTCTGAACCAAGAATCAGGAGCTTTGGAGGCCCAGCTCAGTCCTGTGACTTCATTAGTCAGGGATTTGGGGACAGAACCAAACGATGAGTCCGGCTTCAGGAATAGCTAGTTCTGGTGCTAAAACAATGTCCTCTTCATTCTTCTCGTCTCATCTGGCAACCTTGTTTTCCTCAATGCTGCCTCGTTCTCAGACAGGCTCTTCACACATGGAAGTGTCCCATGCTGTGTCAGGTTTATGCCCTATCAACTTGATAGTCGCAGCAAGAAAAATCTCTTTCCCAATAGTTCCAGCAAAAGTTCCAGAGCTGACTGTCAGTGGATGAGCTTGGGTCATATATTCATACCTGAACCAATCAGTGTGACCAGAAAAATGGAATATGCACATTTTCTGAACTAAGACACACACACACCAGATGCGGTTTAGGGGTTTGCTCCATCTAAACCATCCAGACCAGAGAGGTTCATTCCTCTTCTGAATTATGAGCAGAACTCAATTGTCTCCCAGGAAGTGTTTGACTGATTTTCTCAGGAACCCCAGCAGGGCAAATCTCAGAGCTTCCATTTGGGGGGCCCCTGGGAGTGGAATTACAGGGGTGGGAGGCATCAAAGGACAAGCCTAGTAGAAGCCTCCTTAGGTAGAGAGCCTGAGACAGGGGTCCTTGTCAACGTGATTCTGGGGGGAGCATCCTCGGGCTGCTGTCATCATTGCCCCCATGTTTGTCATTGTCCTCACCAAGCCTGTATTCTTTTTTTAAAAAAGAATTATTTAATTTTATTTATTCATTCATTTGTTTTAATTTGGCCAGAGAGAGACACAGAGAGCCAGAGAAAGGGAAAGTGAGAAAGCAAGCCACCAGGTCTAGGACTCAAACCGTGGTTGGCCCTGTGGGTGTGTCCCAGCACCTTAACCACCACACCACCTGCTGGTGCCCCAAGCCTGTATTCTAATCTGTTAAATGGGGGGATGGCTACAGGTATTATCCAATTTAGTTGATGAGGAAAGTGAGGCCTGGGGAGGTCAAAGCCTCTCCCAAGGTCACAGAGCCAGTAGCTGAAATTCAGACCAGGCCATCTTGACCCCAGAGTCTCCTTGCATAAGCTTTCACCCCACACTTCACACATTCTCTTAAGAAATATGGGGTGTGGGCTTCTCTTATTGCAGGAAGCCAGTTCGGAAGCTCAGTTTTACACCAAAGGTGACCAACTGATACTCAACCTTAATGAAATCAGGTAAATATGGACATCAGCATGAAGATTCTGTGGATGAAAATGAGTCCCACCCCTCGGGTTTCTTGAAATGACAGCATGCAAGCGTGGAAGGCTGCAGCCTGGCCTGGACTGTCCTGCTGCCAGGAACTAAGTGTGAGAGCGCAGGACAGCGAGGGGGCCCTGCAACAGCCACGGGCAGGCTGACTCTGCTCAGAAGAGTGGCTGCCCAGCACAGGGCCCTTGGCCTCAGGGTTCATCGTGGACACCTCCAAGACAGTGGCAGTGACAGTCACCCCCAGCCACTGAGCCCCTTCCGAGCCCAGCCCAGGAATACAGGCTCCAGCTGTCTTCTGCACCCCTGCCTCCCCCCCTACACCTCGCCCCTTCCCGCCACTTTTCTGCTGCCCCAGAGTGAGTTGGCTGGTTGCAAACTGGAACCCCCAGGACTAATCATGCCTGCAGTGTGTTGGGACCAGCCCACAGAAGTTTGGGGGATGTTTTGTTTTGTTGACATGAATTAGTTGCAACATACAAAACTCAAACTATACCACCACCACCTCAACCCTGCTGCTTACATTCCTACAGAGAGCAAAAAGTTGAGTTGGGATGAGGGCAAGGGGGTCCCTTCTGAAGGGGCCTGCACTCTCTACTCCATCACTGCTGGGCGTGGTTTTGTGCTCTTCTGACCAGAATTTGTTTTCTACCTCCCCTGAGGCAAGGGCTCTATGTGGTTCACCATTGTCTCCAGAGCCTGCTCTAGGTCTGGCGCATAGTAGGGCTCAATGCAGAGTTGCTGGATAAGGGATGGGGACCTCAGGGACCCCAGGGACCATTCTGACAGGCATCTTCTGTTGTAGTTCTAACCGGATCCAGTTGATGAACTCCGGGATTGGCCTATTCGAAGTAAGTACAGCAGATTATCCCTGAGGTCATGGGGACAGCCCAGGGGTCCATTCCCTGAGGGCATGGGGACATCCCAGGGGTCCATCTCTGAGGGCACAGAGATGGCCCAGGGTCCATTCTATTCAGAAAGAGACATTGTCCAGGATTTGCTCCAAACTAGGTCCTCCCAGTAGGGTAGTCAGCCTTCATATTATCAACCCAAGTCCACCCTCCAGGCCAGGCTTTCCTGAGCACCTACTATGTGGCAGACCTAGCTGAGAACACACACACACACACTCAAATACACACTATCACAGACACGCACTCTCAGTGAGGTGTTTTGGGTTCAGTTTTGGTTTGTTCAGGGTTTTTTGTATTTTTTAAGTGTATTTATTTGAGAAAGGAGAGACAGGCAGACACCCCAACAGGGTCTTCACACTGGCCCACTCCTCGTCTCAGCTGGCCTGGATCACACGCACACACCTGCCTGGCAGTCTCAGCGAGGTTATGAACTGGCGACCTTCCTCGTGTGTGTCTGCCACTCGGAGCATTGCCTTTACCACTATGCCAGTGTCAGCCCCAAACGTTTTCATCCTAAATAGAAAATCGATCCCCTCAATGTGCACTCTCAGTTTGGTGCCCTTAGTGACCCTGGGCACCTCCTTGTCTGTGGTCTTCTGTGTCCCCACAGGAGTCAGGTCAAACCCACGGTCTTAAACTGGCTAACTCCTGTCTTCTGCCATGTTTTCACTGGTCCCTGCATTTATTTCACTTTATACATTTTTTTACTGATTTTTTTTTTAATTTCTACTTTTAAATCAACACCGAATATTTGCACATATTTATGGGAAACCGTATGATATTTTAATATACATATTAGTATTTTTAAACGGGGCGTTTTCTCTGTGACACTCGGGTCTTCTGGCCTCCTGTAAGAAGTCAAAAGCTCAAGCAACAGGGAAGAAGTCCCTCGGGACAAATTTACCTGGCACAGAGCAGCACCGCCCTGAGGAAGGAATGTCCCCCAGTGCACCCCAATCCCACCTGCCAGCCCTCTGGGGCAGCTGAGTTCCTCTCTGGCTTCAACCTGTCTGGTCCCCAGGAGCACACCCAGCTCTAACCAGCCACCCTCACCACAGGGGCGCGCAGTGCCCGTCAGGAATGGTTGGGAGAGTCCCAGATGCTCACCCACAGTGACGGTGCCCCTTCTCTCCCCTAGCCTGAACCCCTGAAAGATGTCATCATGGAGATCCTCCTCTCTGTCCTGCTGCCAAACCAGAATGGTGAGTCCCTTTGTCATGGTCCCGCCTCTTCCAGGTCTTCGGTACTTGGACCTGCCTTTCCAGCTAGGGCCCTTTCATTCATTCCCCATCCAACCTTCAGATCCTAGTGCAAATTCTGCCTCCTCCAGGAAGCCTTCATTCTCACCCAGCTGGAAATGGCCTCTCCCCTCTCCACCCCCTGAGCCCAATTCCTTTACTAACACCAGCACCTGGGTATGCAAAGACGGCCAGGTCATGCCCCAGCCTCACAGGGCTGGCAGCAGGAAGGGCGTAGAGGTATAAGCAGACAACTAGAGCACACTTAAAGTGCCTTGGACAGATCTGGGTTCAAATCCTGTACCTGCTCTTGCTGTCCTCCCGGCCTTGGACAAGCAGCCCAATCCCCCAAGCTTCAGTTTCTCCATCTGTAAAATGGGCAAATAAGAGTACCTTGCCTCAGGCACAAGTGAGACAGTGTTTGTGAGCAACAGAGGGGGTGCCCACTATGCCCAACAGTTCTTAGCCATTGCTGTCATGGGCATTGTTATTTGTGTTACAAGTGGAGGAAGCTGAGACAGAGGTGGAATCACACTAATAAGGCCGCAACTTGTGGGAGAGGGAAGAGCTGGCAACCTACACTAGCCTCACCTTTTTAATTACATTTTATTAAAGTGGGAAGTCTCAAAGTATAGGGACCTCTGCTGTGACTGCTGGGAGCCCCTGATGGCTCTTGAGCAGGAGTGTGAGAGGGTGTGAGGGATGTGTTCCATGAGCTGCTAGAAGCCAGTATCAGAGGCAAAGGCTGGGGGCGTGAGGGTGGGTGGGTGCCAGGGCTGGAAAGCAGGTGAGCAGAGAGAGGGGGACGTCAACATCAGCTATGCCGGGTCCCAGACTCCCTCCAGGAATTGAAGGCCCCCCACAGATGCCCAGTCCCAGCTCAGGCCCCCTGGTCACTAACCATGTTTGCTATTTCAGGCAAATTAAGATCCGGGATCCCATTATCGATGCTGAAATCCCTGGGATTCAAGGCAGCTGAGTGTTCTCTGACAAAGGTGAGCTGGATGTGGGCCTGAACAGCCCCTGTAGGGAGCATGGGAAGCCCTGTGCTCTAACCCTAGCCCTGCTGGTCACCGTGGGGGACTTAGGCAAGTCCCTCCCCCTTTAGGGACCTCACCCCCTCATTTGCAAGTGCTCAGCTTGACTATGCCCTGGGGGTGGGACCTTCCTAGCCTGAGGTCAGTGCCCTTTTGCACCCACTTGTCATTCATTCATTCATGTCATCAGTCAGCAAACATTTTTGGGGGCTCTATTATGTGCCAGCCAGACCTCTGAGTGCCAGAGGCCGGCAGTGCACCTCCTGGCCTTGCAGAGTCTGGGCCCCCACAGAGATCTCTCAGGGGTTGAGAGAAAAGTAAAGCAGGCTGGGAGGATGAGAATGGCGGCAGGGGAGGGGTGCTGTTTGGATGAGATGGTCAGGGAAGGCCTCCCTGAGGAGGAAACATTTGAGCCTGGGGAGGTGACAGAGCAAGCTGTGTGGGCAGATGGGAGACAACTTGCCAGAAGGGGTGGCAAGTGCAAAAGGCCCGAGGCAGGATGTTTATTGTTCTGGGGAGATAAGGAAGGAGGCCCAGACCTGAGGCAGCATCTGGGCTGGTAGATCACAGGCTGGGACACGCCCCCTCCCCAGGCACAGCCGCGTGGCTTTCAGCTTCTCGAGGGTGGAGATATTTTGTCTGGGCCCCTGTCCCCAGTGCTCAGCAAGGCCTGGCATACAGTAGAAGTTCAATAAATGCACATTGAGCAAATAACTCTCCCTAGCATCTGCTGAGGGGAGGAGTGGAAGCAGCATCAGCCAGACACTATCCTTAATCAGAAAAGCCCGCCATCGTTATGTGCCGGCCACTGGCGTACAGGTGCATCTCAGTCTTCACCCACCTATGTGGCAGGCCCTGCTGTGAGCCCCATTTTACAGATGCAGAAACTAAGACCCAAAGACGGCAATCCCTTTCCAAAGTCCCACACCTAGGAAGTAGCGGAATTGGGATTTGCACTCAGCCCCTGCCTTGGGCCCCAACCTCTGTATGAGCCATTGGCAGTGAGGTGCCCCTCTCCGCAGGCATCTACTGAGCACCTGCTATGTGCAGGCACCGATTGCGACAGAGGACAAAAAAGAGCCCCCGCCTTCCTGGAGCTTCCAGTTCACTCTGAAATCAGGATGACAATTTACGTTTTCCTCCTCGCTTGTTCCTAGCACCTTTCCATGACCAACATGTCCAACCTAGGGCCAGGGAGACGCTTTGAACCAAACCTTTACCTCTTGATAGTCCTCATTAGGTGTCAATTGGAACCATTAAATTCCTGAACCACTTAATTCTGGAGGAATCCACAGAGGACAGAAGTCTCAAAAATGTTCCCTAATGAGGACACATTCGGAGAAAGGGCTGAGGGCCTTGTTAGCCAGTTTCAAAGCCAAGTTGATGTTTGCCTTATTATCAGCTACACACCCTCAAAAGCCGAGTCCTCCCTGCAGCTGTTTTTTTTTTTTTTTTTAGAGGTTTTTTGCTATAGGGTGCGTGTGCTCACCAAACAGACAGAAAGAGACAGAGAGACAGAAAGCGAGAAATCACCCCCCAGGGAGGATGGCCATGCCGCAATCCCTTCTCCTCCATTCTCCTCTCTGGATCTTGGGCATGCACGCACATGTGCCAGGCATGAGTTTAAGCCACCGGCTCCCGGACTCAAACCGCGGTCGACTACATGGGAGTCCAGCGACATAGCCATTACGTTAACTGCTGGTCCCCCTGCAGCTGGTTTGATGAGGAATAATGAGAACAGCACTGTGGATGGTATGTAGAGTGGTACTTCGTGGTACTTAATGGTACTTAATCAACTTGCATTGCATAAGCCATCACTTATATCTGGTTTGGAAAGGTACTGTTTCAACCCTTTTAACCTTTCCAAACTTCTTCTTTGGCTTCATTCATTAGTTTTTAGCTAGCAACACATTGCTTTTTCTTTCTCTAGCTTTACAGCCTAGTGTGTTTTAAATTCTAGAGTAGAGGGAACGAACGAAAGGAGGGGCATGAAGGAAAGCAAGTACGGTTAAAGGAAAAGGTGGTGGTAGACGCTAGGCGATGGGCATGCAGGTGTCCGCTGTAAAGTTCTTTCCGCTTCACTGGTTGTTTGAAAACAATCATAATACAATGTAGAGGGAGAGGGGCCAGCTGATAGGCTTAATGGTTATGTCACTGGACTTCCATGTAGTCAACGCAGTTTGAGTTCCAGATTCGGTGCCTTGAAACTTACCCTGGGCATGTGTGCGTGCATGCACAAAATTCTGAGAGGAGAATGGAGGAGAAGAGATTGTAGCATGGCCATCTCCCCTGGGGGGTGATTTCTCCCTTTCTGTCCCTAGCGAGCGCACACGTCCTATAGCAAAAAATCTCAAAAAAAAGTAGAGAGATCTAATAGGACAAATTTCTCATCTGAGGCAAAGCTTTGTTAAAACTTCAGAGGTTTGTTTAAAATACAGCTGAGAGCCAGACAGTGGTGCAGTGGTAAACGTCAGCACTCTGTGAGGTCGACCCATGTGGGAAAGTTCCTGTCTGGAGACTCCCCTGAGGACCCCAGGCACATGCAAGCCCATGATCCACAGCTGGATGAGGCTGGGGGTGGATCGTGGCATCAAGACCCTGTTGAAGGTTTATTCTTCCTCCCTCTCTTGCAGAAGAAAAAATAGCCCCCCCAAATGTAAAAGTTTAAAAATCCAACTGCCTAGATCCCAGTGGATACAGCCAGAAATCTACGTTTTTGTAAAACTTTCTAGAGCGTTCTGGTGGTGGGCTGGGCTTGGGGACAACAGTCCTACACCATTCGCCCCCAGCACAGAGGCAATTTACCTGTGCCCCAGTTCCCACTTGGCATCACTATTCAGACCCAGATCCTCTACCACTGACCCTCAAAGGATTGTGTGTGATTGAGTTCATAACCCAATCCCCCCACCAGCACCTCATGCCAATGGTCAGCACCTTATGTCAATGGTTTTTGTAGACAAAACCAGTATGGACAAGGCAGGAGGGGAAGAGCCTATTTGATTTTTCTCCTCTGATTCCAGGATGCCCTCGTGATCACCCCGGCCTCCTCCGAGAACTTCGGCTCTCCTGTCTCCCAGTGAAGACTTGGACACTGGCAGTTGAAGGCAGGCCAGGTCCGAGCTGGGGGTATAGGAGCAAGCTCTACAGACCGTCTCTCTCTGCAATCAATAAACCTTTGCTTGTATTCCTGGAGTTTGGAGTGAATCTTTGTCTCACCATAGGAGTTGTTAGGCTTGGGGACAGGACTTCTAAGCACCATCTGGGTCATGTCAGGGTACTGGGAGCCAGGTTGGGCAATGTCCTAGCTGTCTGGGCTACATAGGACCACATGTGACTGAATGTTCAGGGCCTTGACCATCCCCGGGCCTCTGGAATAAGAAAAACAGTGCTTCCCTCCTGCCTTCCCTGTGAGCCTCAAGACCATTCATTGTGAGGTGGCCTTCTGAGTAGGAGACATACATTTTATTGATCTTGGTGGTGTGCTGGGTCTAAGGCCCTCTGAACCATGTTCTTCTTGCCCTGGAAGCGGCCTAACTAGGCTTTCTGTTCCAGCCTGGCCCCTCAAAGTCAATGTATCTTTGACTCTGAAATATGGCTCCCCCTGTGAGCCTCAGTTTCCTTCTCTGTAAAATGGAGATGGCTCCTCCTGTGAGCCTCAGTTTCCTTCTCTGTAAAATGGGGAGAATCATAGCCCACCGTGGAGAACTGTGGTTAGAGATTAGATGAGAGAGAGAGAGCAGTTCCAGGCACATAGTAGGCACTCAGATAGTGTCTTCCGTGGGTGACATCATCGTCACCATCTCTATGGTCTCCAGGATATTGGGCCTTATCATCGAAAGCCCTGCCCATGCAGACAGTGCCTGACTGCCATTGTCTCCCTGGCCTGATGCCAAGAGGTTCAGGACAGACAACAGGGCCTCTGTTCACCGCGGTCGACTACATGGGAGTCCAGCGACATAGCCACTACTCTAACTGCTGGTTCCCAACAGGGCCTCTCTTCTTCAGACCTAAGAGGCTTAGAGGCCTAAGAGCAGCTCATAGCCTAGGGAGGCTGCCCAGGAACGGGTTTCTCCTGTCCACACAACATGGGCCAGGGCAAGAGGGACGGAAGGGACCAGGACTGGACCCTGGGCCAGAGCTCACAGCGTCAGCAACCACTTATTGGGAGCTGCTGGGTGCCAGGCCTGTGCCGAAGCTCCCCAGCCATCCCCGACCCCCAGTCACTCTGGGTGCTCCCCACATATCACATTCACTTATTTTTCTAAATCTTCTTTTTAATTTTGCTAGAGGACACATGCACTTGCCAGAAAGAGACAGAGAGAGAAAGTGTAAAAACTCTACCATAGGAAATAGTTATGGGGCAATCACAACTTCATTTCTCCGTCCTTTTCAGATTTTGAATGTGTGTGTGTGTGTGTGTGTGTGTGTGTGTGTGTGCATGCGCGTGCTGGATCTAGAACGCAAACCTTGTGGTCATGTGGGATCCAGCCGCCTCAACCACCATGGTCTGGCCGCTAAACCTTAATATGTCTGGGTGTGAAGCCCCACTCACAGAGAAGTGGGAAAGTCAGCCTCTACCTCGTCTGAGACAGGTCTACCCTGGCTCTCTAGGGCCATATAATAAAATGTTGCAAGGGGAGAGTGATCCCAAGGGGCCTGGAGGATAGAGCTGGATCTCTGGTCTTTTTTTATTTATTTATCTCTCTCATGAGAGAGTGAAAAAGAGAGAGAAGTGTGCCCCTGAGTGGGCTCTTCACACCATGATCCATCCCCAGCCTCAGCCGGCCAGGATTGTGAGCACACATGCACGAGGCACACCCAGGGATATGGGATGTGAACCCAGGACCTTGCCAATGGGTCATCTCACAGGGTGCTGCATTACCACTGCACCACCAGCTGCCTCAGGACCACTGGTCTTTGGTCCCAGCTGGTGCTGATGAAAGGGTCTTTATCTGAGCCCACATGATCCTGTCAGAGAAGGGCGGCTCTGTCACCCTGGCCAACAGGGACCTAGGGATCCTTCTCCAAACTAGCCGGTTCTGACACCCACGACTTCTGGGCCTTCTGGGGGTCTGTAAGTTGCCCCAGCTTCCTGACCCCCCAGGGACAAGGAGCAGCCCTGAGGCACATGCTCCACATGCTCCCAGAGCTCCCAACAGAACGGAACCCAACCACCCAGCACTCACGGCTTGAGAACACACACACTACTTAGGGCTGTCTGTACTTCCTGCTTCATTTCCCTCCCCTCCCTCCCATGTTCCCTGAAGTCAGCCCCAAAATCAACTACCTGCACTCAGATCCTGGTCTGGGAAAGAAAAAAGAGAAGAAAGAAAGGGAGAGAGGGAGAGAGAGAAAGAAAGGAAAAAAAGAAAAAGAAAGGAAAAAGAAGGTCCTGGCTGCTCCTTTGTCACCCACTCACCTTTGGGTGTCCGCCCCCCCAGTGCCAGACATACTTGCTATGGGCCCTGAAACACATCCATGAACCCTTGAGGCAAGAGCCCCCAGCCCGTGAATTCCAAGATCCCACCACCTCCCTGGGCTGGGAGAGAAAACTCTTCTACTTCCCTCTGAGTCTTAGCCTTTGCAGCAAGCCTAAGCACCCAATGCTGCCTTGGTAGGCCACCCTGCCCCACAGAAGTCACCACCGTCTCAGTCTTGCAGGGGAGACACCCTGCAGCACAGCTGGGCACTGATGGAGGAGACCCAGGCCTCACCCTTTTGCCCTGCTTCTCACTGAATCCACAGCAGGACTGACCCAGTTTACTGATTCTTCAAAATAACTATAACAGGGGCCAGTAGGTGGCGTGGTGCTTAAGGCGTTGGACTCCCACCCACGTAGCCCACAGTGGTTTGAGTCCCTGACCTGGTGGCTTGCTCTCCCTCTCTCTTTCTACCTCTCTCTCATGAGCTCACATGCCCTATAGGAAATTTTAGAACAATAATAACAATTAGATTTTTTTTTCTTTTTAAGGATTTTGCCATAGGGTGTATGCACTTTCCAGAGAGGAGAGAGATGGAGACAGTGAGAGGGAAAGTGAGGTATCACCCTCTATAACAATTACATATATTTTTTTTCTTTTTAAGGATTTTGCCATAGAGTGTGTGCACTTGCCAGAGAGGAGAGAGATGGAGACAGTGAGAGGGAAAGTGAGGTATCACCCTCTAGGTGGGAAAACCACCCCGATATCTCTTCTGCATTCTCCTCCTGGGATTTTGGGTATAGGCGCACGTGTGTCTGGTATGATGTTCAAGCTGCTAGATCTGGAATTTGAACTGTGGTTGGCCATTTGGGAGTCCAGTGCCTTCACCACTATGCCACCCCCAGCCCCAGTAAATCTTTAATTAAAATAATAATAATAATAACAGCTAAGCAGTCTCTATGCCCTGAGAGCTATGCAGTTCCCAGCAGGGGACCAAGCACTTCCTGTGGGATTAACATGCCCATTTTCCAAATCAGTAATGCTCAGGAGAAGCAGTAACGGTGTGTACCCTTCCATGTTCCTCCTTGGGTTTCGTTCTCATGGAAGAGACCCCAGGAAATCTCCCATCTCTTAGCAGAGAAAGTCAATGAGCTAAACAGAGGCAGTCCAGGGGCTCCAGCCAAATTCTTCACTCCTATTTTATTTAGAGGCCAGATTTTGGAAGGGAAGGGAGACCTCTGTGCTTACACTAACAACCTGCAGTGCTCCCAGTGACTCAGATGAAGCGATGAACCAAGAACCTTTCTCAGTCCCAGCCACAGGGAGGACAGCATGCAGCGGTAGGGTTGAGACTTAATCCACAGAAATGAGGGGAACCTACTGACTCGCAAAGCACCTTCCAACCCAGAAAGCCCATGACTTAAAGACTCTGAATTCTAGAGTAAGAATATCCTCTCTGGGACCAGCAGATAGCGTAACAGTTATGTCGCCAGATTCCCACGTAGTCCACGGTTCAAGTCCTGGACCCAGTGACTTAAAACTTACACTGGGCACATGTGCATGTGTGCCAAGATCCCAAGAATGGTGGAGAAGGGATTGCAGTGTGGACATTCCCCCAGGGAATGATTTCTTGCGTCTGTCTCTCTGTCTCTCCAGCAAGCGCACGTGCCCTATAACAAAAATTTCTCTTAAAAAAAAAAAAAAAAAAAAAAAACAGAAAGAAAGAAAAGAATATCCCCTCTAATACCTGCTACCGAATCACTCTGTGAGTCAGTTGCTTTTTGTTTGTTTGTTTGTATAGAGCACATGCACTCACCAGAAAGACAGAGAGAAAGCTCCCCTCACAGGGGATGACTCTAACTCCTTTCTCCTCCATTGTCCTCCTGAGATTCTTAGGCACACATGCACACAAGTGCCTGGTGTGGTTCTCAAACCGCCAGGTCTGGGACTCAAACCACACAGTCGGCCATGTAGAATCCAGCTGCCTTAACCTCCACGCTGCCACTGGCCCAGTCATTTGCTTTGACATTAGCCAAAGTAAGAACTTCAGGACTGCCCTCACATTTCCACTGCAGCTCTGTCTTCTAGAACCCAGCCTCTGACCTCTGGCCCCTTTGTCTGGTGTCCAGCACGTGCTCTGACCATGTCCCTGAGCTACACGAGGAAAGGAAATCGATCACAGTGAAACCCCATGGAAAACCTAAGATGAGTCTCCCCCACCACTGGGAGATCCCACTGGATGGAGTTCCTGACACAGCAGCAGCGTCCACTGGCGGCGCCAGGATTCCCACATGACAGGATGGCCCAGCAGCCTGGCTAGGAGGGAGGGCTCGGAGTCTTGACGCTGCACTGTGTAGTAACACCAAGTTTCCCTCTCGCCAGGTGGCCAACCCCTCCTCACTTTACCTCAGACCATATCCTGTGTGATCTTGAGCAAGGCAATTAACCTGAGTCTCAGCTTCCTCCTTTATAAGTCAGAAACTAAAATAAGTACCTTTGTTTTGATCCCTTCCCCTGAACTGAAATCTATGCGGTTGCCTTAATGGACCTTCACAATACCCACATGATGTAGGTGGATTATGATTTGCATTTTACAGAGACTCTGAAGGAAAAATGACTTGCCCACAGTCACACGGCTCCTGAGTGATAGTAGTGATTTGAACACAGACATACCTGGCAGCAGAGGCCATGCCCTTGGTGCCCACACCACAGCAGAAAATACAGTTTGAGGGCCAGCAGGTGGCATGGTGGTTGAGCAACTGGACTCCCACATGGCCAACTGTAGTTCAAGTCCCAGACCTGGTGATTTGCTTTCTCACTTTCTCTCTATCTCTTTATCTCTGTCTCTGTCTCTCTATTTATACATGTGTGTCTTATGAACACACATGTCCTATAGCAAAATTTAAAGTATATATAATAAATCAAATTTAAATAAATAATTTTTTAAAAAAAGAAATTACAACTTGAATGGCAGCTATAGACAGAGCATGGGGGATGGCTATGAGGTGGCCGCCAGCCTGTCCCACCCCACCTCTGCCCCTCACCTGCTCTCCTCCCCCATCCCACCCCCACGTACGCGTGCACATGCACAGACACACACACACACACACACACACACTCAGGTTCTATGACAGCCATATCCTGCCCGAGGAGCACACAGGCCCTATTCCAGGCTCTGTAGCTCTGATGTTGTTCCAAAGGTTCAGGACCCGCCCTCAGACCACAGGGCCCCCAACCACTTTCTCCCCAGGGTCTGCTGGTATTCGAGACCTGCATCTCCAATTCTGCAGCACATTGGCCCTAGGCCCAGAGCCTGCCCTCAGGCCTCATTGAGCGGCCCTTTGAAGCCAGAAGCCCATGCCAGCTGATGCCACAAGGGCCCCTCCCTCTACCAAAGAGCCCCACTCCCCCCACTCCCCGCCAAAGAGCTCCTGGGAGCTGCAAGCACCTGGAGAGGAGGCCAGGCTCCCTGCCCACTGCCCCGCCCAGTCTTCAGAGCTCAGGTTAAAAAGCTGTCTTCTTCAGACGCTAAGGACAGAGGCCAGAGACAATCCGGACAGTCCCATTCCGGGAGAGGTAAGGACAGGAAACTGACGTGGGCATTCTCAAATATTTCTCAAGTGCCTACAAGATCATGGCAAAGGGTCGCATAGATGCTTAGTGCCAGGAGAAGCTGGGTTCCAATCCCGGTGTGACCACTTACTGTGTCATCGTGGGCAAGTCCTTTCTCCTTTCTGAGCCTCAGCTTCCTCATCTGTAAAATGGGCCTGATAGCAGTGATTCCAGACCCTGTGGTGAGAACTTAGGAGTGTGGTGGAGCTGTCAAGCCCTCAGTGTGTTGCCCTCTAGAAGTTGGGGCTGGTCTGAGATGACTCCGGGAGGGCAGAGAGGACTGGAAGACGGATAGGGCAGGAGAGGGACCGGCTTGGGTGAACTGATTGAGAAAAATGCCTGACATAGAGACCAACTAAATGCGGGTTGGATGAAGAGTGAATGAACTTGAGATCAGTCTGGAAGCAAAACAGGAATAGCTAATGCCATGACTACAAATCCCACAGCCCCAGATTCACATCAGCAAATGACACTCTTTTTTTTTTTCTATGACTTATGTGTTTTGAGTCCCTATGCCGCTCAGTAGAAAAAACCAGGATATTTAAGACAATGCCAGGATATTCCCAACCACATCGGGTCTCCCCCGCTGGTGTGAAGACAGCACTTACCCACAGCATGGCGTCTTCATGGCCCTAGCATGGGCATGAGGAGCAGGGGTGACTCCTCAGTGGGCTGCCCTGGAGATGTCTGCACCCTGTCTGGCCTCTGTCTTGCAGTTCCAGAAGTTTCTTTTCCTGGTGGCGTGCTCTTGCACACTCCGAGTCCCTGTCTCAAGGCTCTAGGGTCCCAGGTAGGCCCTTTTGGCTACTTGGGCAGGGCTGAGGTTTTACTGGCTGGAACTGATACAAACATGTGGGTTGAAATATCTCCCTGCTGCTCAGTAAAGATCCATGGCTCTGAGCTCCCTAAGCACCCACCCTTGTCACCCTGCCCCTCACTCAGAGCCCCCATCCCCTGGCCTCCTCCAGATCCAGAAGCCTCCAGTGTGAAAAGGGAACACTTCATCTTTTACCTCCTCACAAGGTGATCCGGCCGCACAACGGCATGCCAAGTGCTCTGCACACATTGCTGAATGTATTCCTCACGGCCTATGGGTATCTCCATTCTACAGGAGAGAAAACTGAGGCATGAAGAGGTCCGTAACCAGCTCAGGTCACAGTTAGGAAGGGACAGAGCCCGTCCTGAAGCCAGCTCCTGGGTGGGGAAGGGGCTCCAGGCAGGGGGTCTGCAACCGCAGCATGTGGTGGTGAGAGGGACAGGCTCTGTTCAAGGGCCGGTGGGTCTGGAGCTGGGGCAGGGATGAGGCCAGGAAAGCCGGAGAGGTTGTTCAGGCAGAGACAGAACTGGGAGCTGCAAGAACAGGTGCTGGTGAGGACAGGCTCCCATCTCCGAGAAGCTGGTGGTGCAGCAGTAATGCAACTGGGTTCACATCCTGGCCCCTCCCAGAGTATGTGGGCATGCGTGCTCATGCCTGTGACCAGGCCAGCTGAGACTAGGGGTGGATCGTAGCATGAAGACTCCGTTGAGAGTGCCAGTCTCTCTGACTCTGTCTCTCTCAAGGAAGAAATTTCAAAAGGAAAAAATTTAAGAAAAAAAAATCAAGCTCACTACCTCCCTGTGCACAGGTCCTGGCAAGGAGAATGCTGCTGCTCTGGGCACTGCTGCTGTGCTGGAGGCTGCCGCCCCAAGCCCAGGGGGAAGCCCAGCACCTGCTCTTCCTGAGGATCAGCAAGACACAGCTGAAGACAGGTACGGTTTCCAGGGTCCGCTGGAGGAGGCAGGGACTCAGAAAGTCAGGAGCACGACCTCCCTGCTCAAGGCCTCTCCTCTGGCCACCTCCTGCTAGCCACGAAATTCGCCTTCCTTCACCCAGAGCTAACCATGCCTCCCCTGTCCCAATACCTGCCGTGGCTCCCCTGTGCCTCAGGAGCCCCTCCAAGCCTCTGATCCTGGCATTCAAGGCCCTGCATCTCCCACCTCTTCCCCACGACCTTCCCTGACCTCCCCCAGGGACTTCACAGCTCCCTCCTTGGCTTACCCTGTCCCTTCTGCCTAAAATGCTGTCCTTCCTCCCCAACACTGAAGGCTCAGCGCTATCTGCACCCCCACTGGGAATTCCTCCAGACTCCCCCAGGCAGAGGAATCCCACAGGATCCTTCTCTAGAAACCTCTTCCACAGCCTTATCCCAGTGTATCACCCCGCGGTCCTGCCTGGCCATCTCTCTGCCTCCCCCCAACTCTTGGCTGTGAGCTGCTTGTGCCTGTCACCGCCTACCCCGCTCACCACATGCTGGCCTCACCGACCCTTCTCTTCCCTCAACCTGCCGGGCCCATCACCACTTCGGGTCTTTCATGTGCCCGCCTCCTCTGTCTCCATGTTCTCCCCCACAGGACGATCAGTTGATTGTTCATCATTCCTTCACTTGATTCAGGCCTCAGCCCAAATGCCCCCTCCTCAGAGAGGCCCTCTCTGATCATCCTTTCTAAAACAACCCTCATCCCCCTGGTGCACCAGCTTGACTCCATCTGATTTCCTTTGGAGCATTTTCACTTTCGAAAGTGGCCTCGCTTACTGATCTGAGTGCCGGATGGTTCTGTCTCCCGGCTAGAATGTAAGCACCGTTTGGGCAGAGCCATGTGTCAGGCCGGGAGAGGGTCAGGGTTTAACAGAAATACTTGATGCAGAATGACTGTCTACCTGGCTGGCTCGGAGAGGTGCTGGCAGGTGTTTGTCAGATGACCAAATGAAGGGTAAAGCCTCACACCGAGGCGGGCTTTGTGTCCCAGACATTTCAGATCTGCTCTCAGAGCACCACGTCCTGGACCGGCTGGTCAAGATGCCAGTGACGGGGGCCGCAGGTGAAGGCGTCTCTGTCCTAGACCACCTGCCCTTCATAAACGGAGGCCTTGTCAAGAGGAGCAGTGGGCTGAACCTGTCACTGGTCGGGGACCTGCTCTCAGGGAAGACAGTCCCAGAGCTGGGGGTGCTGCTGGGGACAGGCGGGTGAGTACAGGGGCTGCCCCTGGCCTCTCTCCTCCTCTCAGGCAGGGCTATGTTCTCATTCTCACCTGTCAAGTATGTCTTGGGAGTTTCTCTCCAGCCTCAAAAACACCTATGACATGTTTGGGGTTTTGTTTGTTTGTTTAGTTTTTGCACTTTCCAGAGAGAAAGCAACAGAGAGAGGGGAGGGGGAGTGAGAAAGCACCTCCCAGGAGGATGGCCATGCTGCGCTCCCTTCTCCACTCTCCTCTTGAGATTCCGGGCATGCACACACATGTGCTTGGTGTGTTTTTCAAGCTGCCAAGTCAGATCCGGGAGTCAGACAGCGCAGTCGGCCATGTGGGACCCAGCGCCTTAATCACCAGGCCAACAGCTGGCCCTGCACGTGTACTGTTATTACACCTGAAACCTCATCAAGTCATTTGAAATCCTGGAAACAAAGCAGGGCTGAATCAGGGATCATTTAAAAAAAAAAAAAAAAAACAAGAGTGATCTCATCAAAATCCTGGTTTCCGGATTATGCTGGTTTGCTGGGCCTGCCAAGCCAAGCACTGCGAACTGTGTGGCCTACACAACAGAAACCCGCGGGCTCCCCGTTGGGGCTGAATCCGAGGTGTCTGCAGGCTTGCTTCCTTCTACAGACGTGAGCACAGGTGGCTTCCATGTCTCACCCCGCTTCCGGTGGGTTAATGGCAGTCCTTGGTGTTCTCCGCTTGTAGCCATCACCCCGTCTCTGCCGCCTGCTCACTTATTCTCCCTGGACACGTGTCTGGATCTGTGTCCAGTTTTCACCTTTTCATATGGACACGAGTCCTGCCGGAGGAGAGACCGGCCCTACCCCAGGACAACCCCGTCCTGACTAATTACATCTGCAACAACCCAAATTTTAATGAGACCACAGTCCGAGTCCCTGGGGAGTATGTGTGTGTGAGGACTTTAACATATGAATTTGAGAACAGGGGGACACAATTCAACTCATTAGTATGATTCTCCTAAAAACAAAGATGTGGGGGTCAGCAGATAGCATAGCAGTTACATCACTGGACTCCCATATGGCCAACCACAGTTCAAGTCCCAGACCTGGTAGCTTGAAAAATTATGCCAGGCACATGTGCACGTGTGCCCGAGATCTTGGGAGGAGGATAGAGGAGAAGAGACTGCAGTGTAGTCATCCCTCCTGAGGGGTGATTCCTTACTTTCCCTCTCACTGTCTTTGTCTCTCTCTTCCCCATTGAGTCCATGTACCCTAAGTCAAAAACTCTTTTGTTTGTTTGTTTTTGGAAAGGTTTTTGTTATAGGGCGCATGCGCTCACCAGAAAGACAGAGAGAGACAGAGAGACAGAAAGTGAGAAATCACCCCCTGGGGGGGATGGGCATGCCACAGTCCCTTCTCCTCCATTCTCCTCTTGGGATCTTGAGCATGCACGCACATGCACCCAGCATGAATTTAAGCCACTGGGCCCATGACTTGAACCGCGGTCGACTACATGGGAGTCCAGAGACATAGCCATTACGCTAATTGTTGGTCCCGTCAAAAACCTCTTAAAAAAAAAAAAAAGAACAAAGAGTTGGGGACCAGCAGATGGTGTGGCGGTTAAGGCATTAGACGCCCACATGGCTGACGATAGTTCACAGTTGAAAATCACATAGCACATGTGTGTGAGCCCCAAATCCCCAGAAATCCTGAGAGGAAGATGGAGAAGGGATTACGGCGTAGCTATTACCCTGGAAAGGGGAGGTGATTTTTCACTTTCTCTGTCTCTGTCTCTCTCTCTCTCTCCAGCAAGCACACATGCCCTATGGCAAAACAAACAAACAAAAAAAAAAATCTAAAGGGGAAAGAAAAATGAACAAAGGTCTGGCCACACCTGGCCCGGCCTCCCACATGACAGTCTTGGTGTAAGTTCCGTAGCCCCTACGTCAGACCCGCCGCTCTGTCCACTCGCATACATCGCATACATTACCTGCATGACCCTGAAGGCGAGTGAGGGCAGACTCCTGGTAAAGTAGGTACCACTGGTTGGCACATGGTCTGTGAGCTCAGCCCACGCCGCCACGGGCATGCCTCTGGTCTGGCCCCCACACCAGCCAGAGAGCTGGATACTTCCTCAGAGCCCAGACCCCAGAAGAAATGTTTCTGTTAGGGGTGACATGATATGAAATGCCAGGACACTGGGGTGGGTGGGAACACTGCCCAGAGAGGCTTGGCAGGAGGCGACTGTCCCATGCCAAGGCCAGGACTGGCTGCCTGGCCCCATTGCCTGTGCCTCACCTCACCTGCCTGGGCACAGGGCCCTGGCTTGGGAGGGCTGTAGGAATGCCCCACGGAGTCCGAGTCACCCTTACAAACCCCTCCAGAAGGCTCCAAGATGAAGCAGGGACACAGGCTTCAGAGAGACCCTGAGGTTTTCCTCCAGTGCTGGAAGTTGTTGCTGCCTGTTCCAGTGGGCACCGGTGAGACACCAGCTTGTATCAGTGTTCAAAAACACATAAAACTCTGGGCTCCTCCCAGCTCAGGGAGGTGCTGGGACCTGAGGCCACAGATGGAGCAGAAGGCAGAACAGAGGGTCCCAGTAGCTTGCTGGGTGACCACCAGCTATCTTGCCGCCCCTGGTGGTCACCTGCTTGCTTTTCCTTCGCAAACGCTTCTGCTTGAATTCCGGGAAGTTAAATACGGGTAGGAGCACCTCCGTGGCATTCTCTCTGTGTTAGAGAGGTTGACTGAGGCCCAGCACAGGGAAGGGACTTGTCCAGGTCTTCTAGGCTTGGAGAATGGGACTAGAACTATATTCTACAGCTGGAGTGGGGGACCAAGCGAAGGGGCTGTGACAGAACTGCCCCATCCCTCCTGCGCGCTGCCCCTACTCCTGCCAGTCCAGACACTTGGCTGTGCCAGGCTACAGCAAACCACCCCCCCACACTTGCCATGCCTCTCACAGGTTAGTCATAGAAGATGCCCAAGGACCCGAGGTCACCCTGGAAGTCCTAAGCGACAGCCTGCTGCAGGTCACGTTGCGCTGCAAGCTGTACCTCTCGCTCCAGAAGTAAGTATGCAGGGAGGCTCCCTCAGCACACATGTCTCCGGAGGTGGCCACGAGGGGCTGGCCACTGCTGCATGTCACCACCGGGTCACGATAATCCTTCCCTCTTGGGCATGTTTCAAAGTCATCTTTATTGATGGGGAAACTGAGGCCCAGAGTAGTAGAGGGACTTATCCAGGAGCACATAGTGAGACTATTTTAGCAAAGGTTAAAATAAAATCCTCTGAGGGACCAGCAGTTGGCGTAATGGCTATGTCGCTGGACTCCCATGTAGTCGACCACAGTTCAAGTCCCGGACTGAGTGGTACAAACTCACACCGGGCGCGTGTGCGTGCGTGCCCAAGATCCCAAGAGGAGAATGGAGAAGAAGGGATTGTGGCATGGCCATCCCCCCTGGGGGGTGATTTCTCTCTATCTCTCTGTCTCTCTCTGTCTTTCTGGCGAGCACATGCACCCTATAGCAAAAACCTCTCCAGAAAACAAAAAAAAATCTTCTGAGGGACCAGCAGTTGACATAATGGCTATGTTGCTGGACTCCCATGTAGTCGCCAATGGTTCGAGTCCCAGACCCAGTGGCTTAAACTGCCAGGCAGATGTGCATGTGTGCCCAGGATCTTGAGAGGAGAATGGAAAAGGGATTGCAGTGTGGCCATCCCCCTTGGAGAGTGATTTCTCGCTTTCTGTCTCGCTGTCTCTCTCTGTCTTTCTGGTGAGTGCACGCACCCTGTAGAAAAAACCTCTCCGATAAATAAATAAATAAAAATTTAAAAAAATAAAATCCTCTGACTCCCATGCTGAGGGGCTGTGCCCTGAGTAAATCAGCAAGTGGGTACATTAGCGGGATGGCTGGGGCAGGCGGAAGGGTCTGGTACAAGCTGACCTCGGAGTCTAGTGCTCCTGGGGTGGCCAACTTGAGCAAAGGGCGTCCATTCCCTGGTCTCAGTTTCCTCACCTATAAAATGGGTATAATCCATGTTCCCAGGTGCACAAGGCTATCGGGAGGGTTCACCTTCATAATTCTGAGCCATGGATGATTGGACAGACCTGAGGCTGCAGATGCTCCCTGAGCCACGGCAGTGGTGTGCTCCGCTGTCTGCATGCCAAATGGGATATTCTCAAACACCCTTCAGAAATATGTCCGCTGCTGCTTTCCTTACAAAATGCAGCTCTCTTGCTCTAGCTTTCCCTTTTAATAGAACATGAGCACAAAGAGATATTCCTTTGATAGACTCGGGCACAGAGAAATATTCCTGTTATATGATAAATAGATCCTTACCCTGTGGGAATAGTGCAGTGAAAATGCAACTTGACCATCAGCCTGGCGGGGATTGTGGCAACCTGAGATCGGGTGGCTTACCTCAAGGTCACCTTCAGTCCCAGTTACCCCCTTCCCTCCTACCCCCCGCCCCCGTGAGGATGCTGACCAGCTGTTGTCAGACCTCCCAGGTTTTTAGTTTGCTATAGGGCGCATGTGCTCACCGGAAAGAGACAGAAAGAGGGGTGAGAAATCACCCCCCAGTGAGAATGGCCACACCACAATCCCTTCTCCATTCTTATCCTGGGACCTTGGGCACACATGCACATGTACCTGGTGTGATTTTCAAGCCACCAGGCCAGGGACTCAAACCATACAGTCAGCCATGTGGGATCCAGCCACCATCTCCTGGCCCAGTTTTACATATTTCGAATGAATCCTCCTAGTTTTAATTTGAGGCCCCCAGGTAACTGCAGGCTACCAGCTGGTGACCTCTGGCCTCAACCAGGGTTCTGGTGTGGAGCCTGCCCACATGTGTGGTCCCTGCAGGATCCTGAGGCTCGAAGTCATCAAGAACATTCGCATTGGAGTCCGGCTGGAACAGACCGGGAATAAGACCCAGGTGGCCTTCGAGGAGTGCCACACCCCACCCGGATGCCTGAGCATCAAGCTTCTGGAGCAGTGAGTCCCTGCGCCTCCGCGTTCCCCTGGGGCGGGGCCGGATGCCAGGCCTGTGGGCACCGATCCTCCTCGGACACTTGGGGCTGGGATGCCTCTCCCCAGCCCAGCCGTCTAGAGTGACCAGGGCACCAGGGGTCTCTAAGGCTACACCCTGCACGTACTGCCAGGTAGCCCCCGCTGCCTCCACGTTGACTGTCATAGCTCAGTGTTTACCCATGCAGATTTACCCCTCATCTCAGCCCTGCCTAGCCAGGGGGTCCTGGCCAAGCCTCTAAGCCACAGTTTTCCTCACTAGTAACACATGATCACAATACCCAGCCAGGATGGAGTTACTGCAGAGAGGAGATAAACTAACGCATGTGACTCACTTAGCATAGAACCTGCCACAGAAGGTGGCCACTCTCTATCATCCTTACAGTTACTCAGCACAAAACCTCCTCCAGGAAGCCTTCCAGGACTTTCACTGCCAGGTGTGACCTCTCTCTGCTTGAAAACCCAGAGGCCTTTATCAGAGAGAGAAATAAAGAAATAGAGGCAGAGCAAATCAGGAAGAAAAAGAAGAGAAAGAGTGAGCAAGAAACAAGAAGAGGGGAAAGAACAGAGATGGGAAAGGGGAAAACAGAGAGAAGAGGGACGGCGATGTCATGGAGGGGAGGAAGCAGCCGCTCTGGGCCTCCATACTACACAGACCCAAAGGCAGTCTTCCTCAGTCCTGCCCAGACGCTCCGCCCAGCCTCAGTTTCTCAGGCCCCACCAGCTGTCCCCTTCCCTAGGATGGGCCCTGTCCTGGTGAATGAAATGAAGTCTGTGACTAGCGTCCTGGACCAGGCGTTGCCCTACCTCCTACAGAAGATAGTGAGTTGTCAGCCTTCCCTGTCCCGCGGGGAGAAAGCTGTGGCCCCAGGGAGAGTCTTTGACCTTCCTCCGACCCCAGTGAGGACCCTCCTATCCGCCTTTCAGGTGTGCCCTCTGGCCACAAATCTGCTCAATTTGGTGCTGGAAGACCTACTGCACGTGGTTCTGCGTACGTGGCTGCTGGCTGGGAGCAGGGGGTGTTTGCTGTCTCCCTTCTGGGTGCCAGGCACTGTAGTGGGCTCTGGGAATATTGTGGGGAGCAAGATGGACAGGCCTTGCCCATGGGGAGCCTACTTTCTAGTGGAGGAGCAAAGGGACAATAATAGCTTGTGACCTCGTCAAGTCACGTCCGCCTCTGCGCCTCAGTTTCCCAGGCTCTAAAGCAGGGCTAACCAGGGGGCACAGAGGGCGGCTGTGATGGTTCAGATAACCTGGCAGTCATCGCTCAGTAAATGCCGCCTGTTGCAAGAACACGAGCCCAGACCCCAAGGAATGTGAAGCGAAGCAGAGAACGAGCATGGTGCTCCCCTGCCTGGCTGAGCCCCAGGGAGGCTGAGCCCTGTCATTGCCTCACTGTAGCCCCAAGCTTTTCGGGCCCAGATGACTTCCAGTACTTTGTCACCACCACGGAATTCACTGAGGAGGCCATCCTGATGAAAGTCCAGGTGAGCCAGCTCCCGCAGCTGGGGACACCCACTGGTCCGGGGAGGACAATGGGAGGGAGCGTTTCCGCACAGGAGACAGAGAGGAGGAAACAGAAGGAGCGAGCAGAGAAGGAGGGAGAGGAGGAGAAGAGGCCCCACAGGCCCTCAGGAGCAGGAGCTGTGCCGAGTCTGGGAGTCCAGCCACAACCCTGGAGGGCAGGAGAGGTCACCGGGCTATGTGGACAGTGAGTGAGGTCAGGACTGCAGGACCACACAACGGCACAGCTGCAAGGGACCTCTCAGAGGGGGAAACTGAGGCCCCGAAAGGGGGCAAGGCTGGCTGCGCCGGCACCACATCCACCCACTGTGCTTCCCTTCCCCAGGGAATGACAGGGGTAAAGGGGACTCGAGTGGACAGGAGGGAGGCACTGCTAATGAAGCTCAGAAGGCAGCAGGGTTGGATGAGAGAGAAACAAGGAAACGGACTCGCAGGCTCAAAGTCCAGCCCCACCTCTTACCATGTGTGGAACTTAAGCAGGTCCTCGCACTTCTCTGGGCCTCGGTTCTCCTGTCTGTCAGATGGAGACAATGACAGCTGCCATCTCACGCGCCGTTGAGAGGTTCAGATGAACCTGTGCACGTGAACATTCAGCACCGTGCCTGGCACGGGTGAGCCCTCCATGTGCTAGCCAAGGAGCCCCATCCCACTAAACCTCTCTCCTTTCATTTCTCTGAAGTTCATTACCCCCTGTGGCCCGCATCGGAGAACCGCAAGGCCCCGCTACCTGGCCCCACAGTCCCTGCCAAGGTTAGCCCAAGGCAGCATGGCAGACCTGGGCTTTGGGCTGGAAGTCTTCAATGACATCCTGTCCTGCCTGTATACCAGTAAGGAGATCCACGTGGACCCTCGGGACCCCACAGTAAGTGCTCAAGGAAAGGAGGAAGGGTTAGGACAGAACTTTATTGCTCTATATTTTACATGAAGGGACAGCCCAAGACTCGGGTGGTGAAAGTGCCTGTCTGGGTGGGCCTAGGTAAGTCATTTTCATATTTGAAACTCACCTGTAGAACTCCTATTCAGCCTTTAGAACCCAGCATAGAAGTCTCCTCCCATAGAAGACTTCCCTGAATACTCAGGTTCTTTTCTTGTTCCTTTATTGTTAACACTGACCCATTCATTTATGCTGCAAGTCTTTATGGAAGGCCTACTGTGTGCTAGGCCCTAAGCACACAGGGTCTCTGCCCTTGTAGAGCTCAGAGTCTAGTGGAAAGTAGAAACTGAACAAGAAAATAGTTCAATGAGGGGACCAGCAGTTAGCATAATGGCTATGGTGCTGGACTCCCACGTAGCCGACCACGGTTCACGTCCCAGACCCGGTGGCTTAAACTCACGCCGGGCACGTGTGCGTGCGTGCCCAAGATCCTGAGAGGAGAATGGAGGAGAAGGGATTGCGGCGTGGCCATCCCCCCGGGGGGGTGATTTCTTGCTTTCTATCTCTCTGTCTCTCTCTGTCTGGCGAGTGCACATGCCCTATAACAAAGACCTCTCCAAAAAAAAAAAAATAGTTCAATGAGGGGACCAGCAGTTAGCATAATGGCTATGGTGCTGGACTCCCACGTAGCCGACCACGGTTCACGTCCCAGACCCGGTGGCTTAAACTCACGCCGGGCACGTGTGCGTGCGTGCCCAAGATCCTGAGAGGAGAATGGAGGAGAAGGGATTGCGGCGTGGCCATCCCCCCGGGGGGGTGATTTCTTGCTTTCTATCTCTCTGTCTCTCTCTGTCTGGCGAGTGCACATGCCCTATAACAAAGACCTCTCCAAAAAAAAAAAGAATAGTTCAATGAATGAAACAATTTATCTTAAAGAAAGCAGGATAGTGGGGTAGTAAGTGACTAAGTGAGAAGGCTAACCCCAGATGCCCCACCTCCAAGGAGGTGGCCTGATGGTGGCAAGGAAGCATACACAGAGAGATCTGCAAGGATCGGTTCCCAGGGCCAGTGGGGATCAAATGAGGAAGAAATCCAGATCCATCACTCTTCAAAGCCCCCTGCAGCTCTGCACTGCACCCCGAATAGAATCTGTCTCCTCTGGGCAGCTCCTAGGGCCCTGCATGGTCTGGCCCCCGACCACCTCTCCAACCCTGTCTCCTTACAATGCTCCAGCCACCCAGGCCGAGCGCATTCTCAGTTCAGGGCTCTGCACATACTTGTCTCTGCCTGGAGCACTTCCTCACTGATTTCAGTAAAAACGTCATTTTCTCAGACAGCCCCCTCTTGACCAGCTCATGTCAAAATCTAGTGAAGCAGATAGTGTGGTGGTTGAGGATCTGAGGTCCCACATGACTGAGGTTCAAGTCCCAGACCTGGTGGCTTGCTTTCTCACTTTCTCTCTCTCTCTCTTTCTCTCTCTCTCTCTTTCTCTACTTCTTTCTTTCTCTCTCTCT